CTTTCCTTGAACTTTCCTTGAACTTTCCTTGAACTTTCCTTGAACTTTCCTTGAACTTTCCTTGAACTTTCCTTGAACTTTCCTTGAACTTTCCTTTTCCTTTCCTTGAACTTTCCTTGAACTTTCCTTGAACTTTCCTTGAACTTTCCTTGAACTTTCCTTTCCTTGAACTTTCCTTTCCTTGAACTTTCCTTGAACTTTCCTTGAACTTTCCTTTCCTTGAACTTTCCTTTCCTTGAACTTTCCTTTCCTCTTTCCTGGAACTTTCCTTTCCTCTTTCCTGGGCACTTTCCCATTTCCTTTCCCGGCACTTTCCCATTTCCTTTCCCGGCACTTTCCCATTTCCTTTCCCGACACTTTCCCATTTCCTTTCCCATTTCCTTTCCCGGCACTTTCCCCTTCCCTTTCCCGGCACTTTCCCCTTTCCTTTCCTGACATTTTCCCCTTTCCTTTCCTGGCACTTTCCCATTTCCTTTCCCCTTCCCTTTCCCGGCACTTTCCCATTTCCTTTCCCGGCACTTTCCCATTTCCTTTTCTGGCACTTTCCCATTTCCTTTCCTGGCACTTTCCCCTTTCCTTTCCTGGCACTTTCCCATTTCCTTTCCCCTTTCCTTTCCCGGCACTTTCCCATTTCCTTTCCCGGCACTTTCCCATTTCCTTTCCCGACACTTTCCCATTTCCTTTCCCATTTCCTTTCCCGGCACTTTCCCATTTCCTTTCCCGACACTTTCCCATTTCCTTTCCCATTTCCTTTTCTGGCACTTTCCCATTTCCTTTCCCGGCACTTTCCCATTTCCTTTCCCGGCACTTTCCCATTTCCTTTCCCGGCACTTTCCCATTTCCTTTCCCGGCACTTTCCCATTTCCTTTCCCGGCACTTTCCCATTTCCTTTCCCGGCACTTTCCCATTTCCTTTCCCGGCACTTTCCCATTTCCTTTCCCGGCACTTTCCCATTTCCTTTCCCGGCACTTTCCCCTTTCCTTTCCCGGCACTTTCCCCTTTCCTTTCCCGGCACTTTCCCCTTTCCTTTCCCGGCACTTTCCCCTTTCCTTTCCCGGCCCTTTCCCCTTCCCTTTCCTGGCACTTTCCCATTTCCTTTCCCGGCACTTTCCCATTTCCTTTCCCGGCACTTTCCCATTTCCTTTCCCGGCACTTTCCCATTTCCTTTCCCATTCCTCTCCCCTTCCCTCAGAAAGCTGGGAATGGTTCCTGGGAGCTGCTCCTGCCCCCAGCCCTGTCCTGCTGAGCCACACGAGGCCTTTCCAGCTTTGCACGTGGCACATTGTCCAGACCGCGTTTTGGGGTTTTGGGGAACCTTGCTCCCCGTCCCTGCCCCCTTCCCAGCCCTCCCAGGCGCGGGAGCTCCCCGAGCTGGATCCGTGCTCATGTTCTCCCGCTCCTTGCCTCTGCAGCCGACAACTCCAAGGATTTGGCCACAGAGCTGGTGCACTACGGATTCATCCACGAGGTGAGTCCCTGCGGTCCCCAGATCCGCGCAGGGGCAGGGCTGGGATTTCCGCTCCCGCCAGGAGCTTTTCCCCTTTTTCCCCTTTTTCCCCTTTTTCCCCTTTCCAAGGGGAGCTGCCCGCTCTGGCACACGTTAATTAGCTGCAGCTTAAATAATTCTGAGTGGGAGAGCCAGGGAAGGAGGCCGGTTCCTTACTTAAGGAACCACAGAACCATTTGGGAAAACACCTCCAAGACTAGCAAGTCCAGCCTGGGACAGACGTGCCAGGTGACCCTGATGGCATCCCCAGGTGCCACATCCACGTGTTCATGGAACTCTTCCAGGGGTGGGGACTCCATCCCTGCCCGGGGCAGCAATACCTGATATTATACATAATATTATATATATAATACCATATAATATCATATCATATCATATCTATAATATAATGTAATATAATGTAACATAATATAATATAATGTAATATAATGTAATGTAATATAATATATATATAATATATATTATATATATTATATTATATATAATATATAAAATAATATATATAATATATATAAAAATTATATATACACTTTATATATATTGTATATAATGATATATATTATATATAGAAAATATAAGATATATAATATATTATTATATATATTACATTATATAACATATATATTACATAACATAATGTAACATAATGTAACATAATGTAACATAATGTAACATAACATAATATAATATAATATAATATAATATAATATAATATAATATAATATAATATAATATAATATAATATAATATAATATAATATAATATAATATAATATTACGTTATATTATAGATATATGATATTACATTATAATATGTTACATTATATTATAGATATGATATGATATTACATTACATTATATTACATTACATTACATTATATTACATTATATTACATTATATTATATTGCTATACTAAAACTATATGAAAAAGAATGGAGAGAAAGGATCCATCAGGAAGCTCCAAAGGAAAGGAATGGAATGGTAACAAAGGCTGGAAAGGGAAGGAACGGAATGGCAATAAAAGCTGGAAAAGAAAGGAATGGAATGGTAACAAAGGCTCGTGCCTCTCAGAGAGCCCAGCACAGCCAGACCATGGATTGTCATTAAGCACAAACAATCCACTGGACCAATCTAAGATGCACCTGTGGTAAACAACGTCCAACCTTCCACAACCATCAGATATTTAATTGTTGACATTTCTTTTGGAGGCTTGTCAGCATCTTGGGAGTAAACCCTAGTGCAGGCGTTCTCATAAAAACCCCATGGTGACGCCCGCGTGGGGCTGGGGGTGTCAGGGAGAGCCCACCCAGGGCCCTGCTGACACCTGCGTGGGGCTGGGGGTGTCGGGGAGAGCCCACCCAGGGTTAATTGTTGACATTTCTTTTGGAGGCTTGTCAGCATCTTGGGAGTAAACCCTAGTGCAGGCGTTCTCATAAAAACCCCATGGTGACGCCCGCGTGGGGCTGGGGGTGTCAGGGAGAGCCCACCCAGGGCCCTGCTGACACCTGCGTGGGGCCGGGGGTGTCGGGGAGAGCCCACCCAGGGCCGGGGGTGTCGGGGAGAGCCCACCCAGGCACCTGCTGGCCTTTCTGCTTGCAGGACGACTGCGAGAAGCTGGCCGCCTTCCTGGAGAGCGCCTTCCACAAGCACCGCTCACAAGCCCTGTGAGCCCAGGCCATGGAGGCACCGCCATCCCCGGGGGCTCCCGACCCACCCAGCCCAGCAGGACTCGCCTGGCCGGGCCTCGGGCCCACGGAATTGTCCCGACTCGTGTTCTGGGCGGGCAGAGGACTCGGCAAAGCCCGGGAATTCCGGGGCGCTGGACACGCTCTGGGGCCCGCTCCCGAGGGGAGGTGTGGGGAGTGGGCAGCACCCCCTTCCCAGGGGGGTTTGGGAGCTGCTGCAGAGCCCCCGGCCGGGTCCAATTCCCTCTGGGAATGGTCAGCCCCCCTCGCTGCCGGTCCCACCGCCGTTTTCTCCCTCTGTGCCATCCTTGCTGAGGGGAGGGGAGGAGCAGGCTTGGAGAGCCCCTGGAGCTTCCCACCGGCCACATCCCGCTCTCCATCCCCAGCTTCTCCAGGTTTAAGGTTTCCTGTGCTCAGAACCCTCGCCATGAGCTGGGACTGTGAGCTGGAGAAGGAATTCCTCACCCACCACCTGGATCCACACTTGTGCATTGGCAGGAATCTCACTGATGCTCCACAGAATCCTGGTCATGCCCCAGTTCCCCCTGCAGCCTTCCAAAACCTCTCGGCGCCTTCAGGAGAGAGCCCTGGTGCCTGTTGCTCCCGTCCCTGCCACGCTGGCTGGAATGCCAGTCCCTGGCCTGGAGATGGGGAATTGCCACCGTCACCACCCCAGGGCTGCCCTTGGCCAGGGACACACGGGGAGAAAAGTGCCAACAGGAATTGTCTCTGTCCCAGAGCCGTGTGGGGCTGCTCCTGCTGCAGGGAGAGCTGGCTCTGAAATCCTGCTGCTCCAGGGAGAGCTGGCTCTGAAATCCTGCTCCTGGTGCTCCAGGGAGAGCTGGCTCTGAAATCCTGCTCTGTGCTTGTGCTGCTGCTCCAGGGAGAGCTGGCTCTGAAATCCTGCTCCTGGTGCTCCAGGGAGAGCTGGCTCTGAAATCCTGCTCTGTGCTGCTCTCTGCTGCTCCAAGGAAAGCTAGCTCTGAAATCCTGCTGCTCCAGGGAGAGCTAGCTCCGAAATCCTGCTCTGTGCTGCTCTCTGCTGCTCCTGCAGGGAAGACTGGCTTTGAAATCCTGCTCTGTGCTGCTCCTGCTGTGCCATAGGAAACTGGCTCTGCAATCCTGCTCTGTGCCAGTGCTGCTCCTGCTGTGCCATAGGAAACTGGCTCTGCAATCCTGCTCTGTGCTGGTGCTGCTCCTGCTGTGCCATAGGAAACTGGCTCTGCAATCCTGCTCTGTGCTGGTGCTGCTCCTGCTGTGCCATAGGAAACTGGCTCTGCAATCCTGCTCTGTGCCAGTGCTGCTCCTGCTCCACCAGAGGAATCCAGCTCTGGTATCCTGTGCTGTGCCAGTGCTCTGTGCTGCTCCTGCTGTGCCAGGGAAATCTGCCCCTGGCACCCTGCTCTGTGCTGGTGCTGCTGCTGCTGCTCCCTCTGTGCTGGGGGAATCAGCTCTGGTGCTGTCCTGGTGATCTGCACCACGCTGGTGCTGGTGCCACTCCTGCTGTGCCAGGGAAAACCCCTCTGGCATCCTGCTGTGTGCCAGTGCTGCTCCTGCTGTGCCAGGGAAAACCCCTCTGGCACCCTGCTCTGTGCCAGTGCTGCTCCTGCTGTGCCAGGGAAAACCCCTCTGGCATCCTGCGCTGTGCCAGTGCTGCTCCTGCTGTGCCAGGGAAAACCCCTCTGGCATCCTGCTCTGTGCCAGTGCTGGTGTTCTGTGTCAGTGCTGCTGCTGCTGCTCCTGCTGTGTCAGGGAAAACTGCCTCTGGCACCCTGCTCTGTGCTGTGCTGGTGCTGCTGTGCCAGGGAAAACTGGCTCTGAAATCCTGCTCTGTGCTGAGCCAGTGCTGCCCCTGCTGCTCTCTCTGTGCCAGGAGAAGCTGGCTCTGAAATCCTGCTCTATGCTGAGCTGGTGCTGCTCCTGCTGTTCCCTCTGTGCTGGGGAAATCTGCCCCTGGCAGCCTGCTCTGCTCTGTGCTGGGGAAATCCAGCTCTGGTGCTGTCCTGGTGATCTGCACCGTGCTGGTGCTCCGTGCCAGTGCCCTGTGCCAGGAAAAGCTGCCTCTGGCACCCTGCTGGTGTTCTGTGCTGGTGCTGCTCCCCCCGTGCCAGGGAAAGCTGTCCCTGGCCTCCTGCTCCGTGCTGGTGTTCTGTGCCAGTGCTGCTCCCCCTGTGCCAGGGAAAGCTGCCCCTGGCACCCTGCTGGTGTTGCTCCTGCTGTGCCAGGGAAAGCTGCCCCTGGCACCCTGCTGGTGCTGCTCCTGCCGTGCCACGGAAATCTGCCCCTGGCACCCTGCACTGCTCTGTGCTGGTGTTCCACTCCCTGCAGGAGCTCCGTGTGCCACCGCCTGCCCAGCGCTGCTCCTGCTCCAGCTGAATCCCACCGGGATTCCATCCACGCTCAGCCAGCTCAGGCTGCACCTGCAGCAGTGCTGCACCCCCAGTAGTGCTGCATTCCTGGCTCAGGCTGCATTCCCAGCAGTGCTACACCCCCAGCAGTGCTGCATTCCCAGCAGTGCTGCACCCCCAGCAGCGCTGCACCCCCAGCAGTGTTGCATTCCCAGCTGTGCTGCACCCCCAGCAGTGCTGCATCCCCAGCACTGCTGCATTCCTGGCTCAGGCTGCACTCCCAGCAGTGCTGCATCCCCAGCACTGCTGCATTCCTGGCTCAGGCTGCATCCCCAGCCCTGCTGCATTCCCAGCTGTGCTGCACTCCCAGCACTGCTGCATCTCCAGCCCTGCTGCATTCCCGGCTCAGGCTGCATTCCCAGCAGTGCTGCATCCCCAGCAGTGCTGCATTCCTGGCTCAGGCTGCATCCCCAGCCCTGCTCCCGCAGTGCTGCATTCCCCTTCCCAGCTCAGGCTCCATTCCCAGCCCTGCTCCATTCCCAGCCCTGCTCCATGCCCAGCCCTGCCAATGTTCCACCTGACAAATCAATAAAGCCCAATCCCACTGAGGGCTCTGCTCCATCCTGCTCGTGATTCCTGACTCCTGGGAAGCCAAGGGAGGGATGCAGGGACACCTCAGAGCTGCCCAGTCCCATTCCCACGTGCTCTGTGCCAGCCTGCCCGTGATTCCTGACTCCTGGGAAGCCAAGGGAGGGATGCAGGGACACCTCAGAGCTGCCCAGTCCCATTCCCACGTGCTCTGTGCCAGCCTGCCCGTGATCCCTGTCTCCTGGGGAGCCAAGGGAGGGGTTCTGCCCATTCCCAATCCCACTGAAGGTTCTGCTTCATCCTGCTCGCGATTCCCGACTCCCAGGAAGCCAAAGGGATTGGATTCAGGGTCACCTCAGAGTTGCCCATTCCCAATCCCACTGAGGGCTCAGTGCCAGCCTGCCCGTGATCCCTGACTCCCAAGGGAGGGGTTCATCCCATTCCCAATCCCACTGAGGGCTCAGTGCCAGCCTGCCCATGATCCCTGACTCCCAAGGGAGGGGTTCTGCCCATTCCCAGTCCCACTGAGGGCTCTGTGCCAGCCTGCCTGTGATCCCTGACTCCCAAGGGATTGGATTCAGGGAAACCTCAGAGCTGCCCATTCCCAATCCCACTGAGGGCTCAGTCCCAGCCTGCCTGTGATCCCTGACTCCCAAGGGATTGGATTCAGGGTCACCTCAGAGCTGCCCATTCCCAGTCCCTCCAGAGCAGCCCCTCCCTGGGCCCCAGACATTCCAGCACACCCCTGCCCTAAATCCATGGATTTAACAGGGTCTAACCCCTGCTCTGCCCCTGGAATCCCCTGCCCTCGGTGAACCTCAGTGGCCCCAGATCCTTTAGGAAAAACCTGGGGGCTCTGTGACCTCCCTGGGACGCTGGGTGCCTCTTTCTGGGCAAAATAAGCCCGAAAAAGGACCCACATTAACAGAGGATTAACCCTTGAAAACAACAGCCTGATGCATATTCATACATCTCATATATTATGCATAAATTACATTCAAACACAGGACTTTGGGAACAGTCAACTTCTCTGAATCCTGATGGTGTCTTTGTGACTGAACCAGCCGGGGAAAAGTTTGTTTCTCCTGATAAAAGAGCAATAAATTCTCTTTCTCTGGGAGATTTATGTGTCCTGCAGCCGAGCACCTCGTTCATTTTTAGAAAGAAAACATCCCACATACACAGCTCCTACTTGAACTACAAATTTACCTTTGTAGAAAGAAAACATCCCACGTACACAGCTCCTACTTTACCGACAAAATTTACCTTTGTAGAGAGAAAACATCCCACGTACACAGCTCCTACTTTACCGACAAAATTTACCTTTGTAGAGAGAAAACATCCCACGTACACAGCTCCTACTTTACCGACAAAATTTACCTTTGTAGAGAGAAAACATCCCACGTACACAGCTCCTACTTTACCGACAAAATTTACCTTTGTAGAGAGAAAACATCCCACGTACACAGCTCCTACTTTACCGACAAAATTTACCTTTGTAGAGAGAAAACATCCCACGTACACAGCTCCTACTTTAACTACAAATTTACCTTTTAACTACGAAACCACATCCACCATACTGCTGAAACGTTAATCCAGCACGACTTTCTAACACAACACACACAATATTCATTTCAATATTTGCGAAAAGCCAGTCATAAAACACGCATTTTTCACACCAGGGCACCGAGGCCTGCCGGCCCAGCCCCAGCCCCACCCCCAGCGGCGCTGAGGGCCGCAGCAGCCGCACCGGAGCCCCTTTTTTTCCCCCGGATTCACACCAAGTTTCACCTCTCACCTCTCCGGCACCAGCGGCGCCTGGGCGGCGCCATCTTGCCGCCCGCCGGCGTCACGTGACGCCCTCCCGCGCTCTCGCGAGACTTCCTCTCCCGCGCGGGCCCGCCCGCCGTTTCCCGCGCGCGGAGCTCTCGCGAGAGCCGCGTGCTGCGGACGGGGAGGACAAGATGGCGGCGACAACGACGATGGCGCTGGTGAGGGGGCGAGGGGCGGCGGGGCCGGGCTAGGCCGGGCTGGGCTGGCTCCAGGGCCGCGGGATACCGCCCGGGCTGGGCCCTCGGGGAGGGGTGGCGGCTCTGAGGGCACGGCGCCGCTTCCCGCCGGGTCTCTCCGGCCTGCGGGCTCCGCTCGCGGCCTGTCTCCGTGAGGGGAAGGTGTCGGTGCTGCCCCGCGGCCTCCCGGGCTGCCGGCCCGCCGTGGCTGTCCGGGCTCTGCGGGGAGCGGGCACGGCCGGGCCGCCGGTGCTGGGCTGCTGGTCCCGAACCCAGGGCTTTAAACGCTTATTTTTGAGTCCTGGTCCCGAATCCATGGCTATAAACGCTTATTTTTGTGTTCCTGCTCCAAAATCCAGGGCCTTAAACGCTTCTTTTTGTGTTCTGTTACCGAACCCAGGGCTTTAAACGCTTCTCTTTGGGCTCCCTTTCCCAAATTCTCCTGTTTAAATGCTCTGTGCTGGGCTGGGTTTCCCATATTCTCCTGTTTAAATGCTGCTTTTTGGGCTCCCATTCCTAAATTCTCCTGTTTAAATGCTCATTGGTGGGTCAGGTTTCCTAAATGCAGGGCCTTAAACGCTTCTTTTTGTGCTCCTTATTCCCAAATTCTCCTGTTTAAATGCTCTGTGCTGGGCTGGGTTTCCCAAATTCTCCTGTTTAACCTCTTCTCTTTGGGCTCCCGTTCCCGAATCCCCCTGGACTTTGTTTTCCGGGGTTCTTTGCGGGCTCTGGGATGTTTCAGCCCTGTGCTGGGTGGCTGCAGGTGTGGGAGAGCAGGAATTCCAGAATTCCGGGGTGGGGGGGCTGTTGGTTTTTGTGAAAAACACCAGTCACTTGGTTTTAATTTTTTTTAAAATTTAATAGTAAAAAAATGGTTGTAAAGACAGCAATATAATTAGTAACAGTTTGGACAATTAGGATTTAGGACAATACCAGACAATAAAAACAAAGAGTTATGGACAGTCTGGGTACCTTTTCTGGGCAAAATAAGCCCAAAAAATTAACATTAACAGAGGATTAACCCTTAAAAGCAACAGCTGTTGCATATTCATACATCTCATCCATGATGCATGAATTCAAACACAGGATTGTGTCTGGTCAGTGCCACCTTCTTCCTCTGAATCCTGATGGATCTTCAGGGAAGAAGTTAGTTTGTTCTGACAATGGGGCAATAAATGCTTTTGCTCTGAAGGATTCAGGTGTGCTGTGGCTGCTGTCTCAGTGGGAGTACCTCATTCCTTTCTTTAAAAAAACATCCCACGTACATGGTTTCTATTTTAGCATTATGTTATAACCTAAAACTATATTTACCACGCTACTTGAGAAAATGAATGCAGCTTCCCAAATTCTCCTGTTTAAATGCTCTGTGCTGGGCTGGGTTTCCCATATTCTCCTGTTTAAATGCTGCTTTTTGGGCTCCCATTCCTAAATTCTCCTGTTTAAATGCTCATTGGTGGGTCAGGTTTCCTAAATGCAGGGCCTTAAACGCTTCTTTTTGTGCTCCTTTTTCCCAAATTCTCCTGTTTAAATGCTCTGTGCTGGGCTGGGTTTCCCAAATTCTCCTGTTTAACCTCTTCTCTTTGGGCTCCCGTTCCCGAATCCCCCTGGACTTTGTTTTCCGGGGTTCTTTGCGGGCTCTGGGAGGTTTCAGACCTGTGCTGGGTGGCTGCAGGCGTGGGAGAGCAGGAATTCCAGAATTCCGGGGTGGGGGGGCTGTTGGTTTTTGTGAAAAACACCAGTCACTTGGTTTTAATTTTTTTTTAAACTTAATAGTAAAAAAATGGTTGTAAAGACAGCAATATAATTAGTAACAGTTTGGACAATTAGGATTTAGGACAATACCAGACAATAAAAACAAAGAGTTATGGACAGTCTGGGTACCTTTTCTGGGCAAAATAAGCCCAAAAAAATTAACATTAACAGAGGATTAACCCTTAAAAGCAACAGCTGTTGCATATTCATACATCTCATCCATGATGCATGAATTCCATTCAAACACAGGATTGTGTCTGGTCAGTGCCACCTTCTTCCTCTGAATCCTGATGGATCTTCAGGGAAGAAGTTAGTTTGTTCTGACAATGGGGCAATAAATGCTTTTGCTCTGAAGGATTCAGGTGTGCTGTGGCTGCTGTCTCAGTGGGAGTACCTCATTCCTTTCTTCAAAAAAACATCCCACGTACATGGTTTCTATTTTAGCATTATGTTATAACCTAAAACTATATTTACCACGCTACTTGAGAAAATGAATGCAGCATAACTTTCTAGCATAACACATATAACGTTCATCTTAATGTTTGTGAAAAGCCAGTCATAAAATATGCATTTTTGACATGGGGTTTGTTTCACGTACATGGTTTCTATTTTAGCATTATGTTATAACCTAAAACTATATTTACCACGCTACTTGAGAAAATGAATGCAGCATAACTTTCTAGCATAACACATATAACATTCATCTTAATATTTGTGAAAAGCCAGTCATAAAATATGCGGTTTTGACATGGGGTTTGTTTACTGTTGTTGTCATGGAAAATAGAGGATTTCTCTGAGGAATGGCTCTGGTTCCAGAGCCTGCTGCTGATCCCAGTAGGAATTGTGTGATCCCAGGAGTCACTCCCTGTGCTCATCCCTGTGCTCAGACCTGCAGTGGTGAGAGGTGGGGATCAGGCCCAGGCTGGGCTCCCTGATCCTGGAATCTTTTCCAGCCCCGTGATCGTGGCATTCTGTGCTGCCCAGGCTGTGTTCCAGCCTGTGCTGGGGGCAGTGTGAAGGGGCTCCCTGAACTCCTGTTCACGCTGGCAGGCAGGTGGAGCAGGGATGGAGCCAGTGCCCTGGCCCTGTGCTTCATCCTTCCTTTCTGCACTTGTGGCTCCTTGAATCTCCCTGTGATTTGCTGCTCGTGGTTCCCAAATAAACGGGATTCTGTCCTTTCTGTGTGCTTGTACTCAGAGAAGTTCTCAGCCCTGTAACAAATTTCCAGGAATGTTTCTGAACTCCTGGAGTTCAAACCCCCTGAAAGGGCCCAGCCGTGCTCAGATGCCAGAACAGCAGCAGGAATCCACTTCCCATTTATTTCTTCCCAAAGGAGCTCCTGTTCTGCTTCCTCTACTGCCTTTTCTCGAGTTCGTCTCCCACTTTCCTCACTTCTGGCTGTTGAGGGATGTGGCAATGTGGTGATGTTCCCTAGGGAACAATCCATGGTGAGGGGTACATGGTCAGGAATTCCTGCTGGAGCCGTGCCCGTGGCCAGCAGAGATCACCCTGGGTCTGTGGGTTCTTCCCAGGGCGATGTGTGGGGGCAGAGAGCTGGAGCCAGCGCTGCCTGGGTGCTTCCAGTCTCAGCTTTGCTCTCTGTGCTGGAGCAGCTCTCTGTTCCAGAGCAGTTTTGGGAAGCTGTGCCTGTTAATGAGCCCAGACATGTAAATTATGTTAAGTTCAGCCATGCGATGGGCTGGGTTTGGAACAATCACAACAGGTTGGGCTCCTGGCTTTTTTATTTTGAATAGTTACACTTGGCAGCCCTTCACTCTGTTTTCCTCCCACATCTCAGAGCTCCTAAATTGCAATAATTGAGTTTTCAAAGCTGAGGGAGATGGGAGCAGCAGTGGGAGAAGGGTTTGTGGACTTGGAAGTTGGCTGGGGAGAGCTCTGGGTGTCCAGTGGCAGAGACACGGGAGGGGACAGGGACAGCTGGTGACAAAGAGGGCTTCAGCCAGGTGGGAAAGGACAAGAAGGATTTTTTAAATTAATTTATTGGATATCCCACAGTCAAAATGAATCTTGGAGATGAGGGAGCCTTCTGTTAGAAACAGATGAGCATTTCTGGCTTGTGTTTGTGGGGGGGATGGCGTTTGGGGACGTGGTCACTGTAAAGGTGATCCTCCCATGTGTGAGGACACGAGGTTTGACTCTATTTTCTTCAGAAGGCTGATTTATTATGTTATATATTAAGATATTACATTAAAACTATACAAAAAGAACAGAGAGAGAGGAAGGATCAGAAGGCTACAAAGACATAGAATAGAATAGAAAGGAATAGAAAGGAATAGAATAGAATAGAATAGAATAGAATAGAATAGAATAGAATAGAATAGAATGCATAACAAAATCTCGTGACCCCTCACAGCCTCGGCACAGGTGGCTGTGATTGGTTATCAATTAAAAACAATCCACATGGACTAATGAAAGATGCTCTTGTTGCATTCCACAGCAGCACACAGTTATTGTTTCCATTTCTCTCCTGAGGCTCTCAGCTCCTCTGGACAGGAAAAATCCTAGCAGAGGATTTTTCATAAAATATCATAACTGCAGTCCCTGCCATGGCAGGGGGTGGAATGGGATAAACCTTAGAGTCCCTCCAACCCAAACCATTCCATGATTCTGTGACAGTCCTGGGGAGGCTTTGCTTTTGGTCTTGGCTCCTGCTCTGAACAGAGGTTTTTCCATGCTACTTTTACTCAGAACAAAGATTTCCCTCAGGAGACTGTCCAGGACCACAGGCTGGGGTTTGTCCCTGCTGGTTGTGGGGTGGTTGGTGGGAAATGTGGAGTTGAGAGAAGGAACCAGCTCTGTTTTGATGGATGGTGCTGCCAGAACCCACACGAGCACCAAAGGCAGGGCCAGGTCCTCCTGTGGGGGATGAGCTGGGGGTCCCAGCACTGGATCAGGCTGGAATCGTGGTCCCAGCAGTGCCAGCCCCGGGCTGCTGAATTGCTGGAGTCAGTTGTGGTCCCAGCAGTGGGACCAGCATGCAGGAGTCATGGTCCAGCAGTGGGATCAGCATCCTGGAGTCATGTTCCAGCAGTGGGATCAGCATGCAGGAGTCATGATCCAGCAGTGGGATCGCTGTGCTGGAGTCATGATCCAGCAGTGGGATCAGCATGCAGGAGTCATGGTTCCAGCAGTGGGATCAGCATGCTGGAGTCATGATCCAGCAGTGGGATCAGCATGCTGGAGTCATGATCCAGCAGTGGGATCAGCATGCTGGAGCCAGTAATTGTCCCAGCAGTGGGATCCATGGTCCCAGCAGGGGGATCCATGGTCCCAGCAGTAGGATTGCTGTGCTGGAATCCCAGTCCCAGCAGTGGGATTGCTGTGCTGGAGTCAGTCATGGTCCCAGCAGTGGGATCCATGTTTCCAGCAGTGGGATCCATGTTTCCAGCAGTGGGATCCATGGTCCCAGCAGTGGGATCCCTGGTCCCAGCAGTGGGATCCCTGGTCCCAGCAGTGGGATCCATTGTCCCAGCAGTGGGATCCATTGTCCCAGCAGTGGGATCCCTGGTCCCAGCAGTGGGATCCATTGTCCCAGCAGTGGGATCCATTGTCCCAGCAGTGGGATCCATGGTCCAGCAGTGGGATCACCATGCTGGAATCCTGGTCCCAGCAATGGGATCACCATGCTGGAATCCCAATCCCAGCAGTGGGATCAGCATGCTGGAGTAATTGTTCCAGCAGTGGGATCCGCATTTCCAGCAGTGGGATTGCTGTGCTGGAACCATAGTTCCACAGAGCTGGAGAGGGACTTTAGACCAGGGCTTGGACTGACAGCACGGAGGGGAATGGCTTCCCACTGCCAGAGGACAGGGTCACATGGATACTGGGGAGAAATCCTTCCCTGTGAGGAGAGGCCCTGGCAGTGAGTGCCAGAGGAGCTGTGGTGTTCCCTGGAAGTGTTCCAGGCCAGGTTGGACAGGGCTTGGAGCAGCCTGGGGTAGTGGAAGGTGTCCCTGCCCATGGCAGGGGGTGGGACTGTGTGAGCCTTAGGGATCCCTCCAAAACATTCCATGATTCTGTGATTTGGGAAAGTTTCAGAGAAGGTTTTAAAATGAGAGCTTGGGAAAGCTGGGTCAGCAGTGCTGGGAGGGAGCAGGGAGGAGAACATTGATGGGGGGCATTGGACAGTGATCTGTTGAGGGGATGGAGATGATGTGAGCCAGGACTGCGGATTGTCTGATTCTCTGTTCACAGAAAACGTGTCTAGAGAGTTCTGTGAGTGTCCAACAATCTCTTGGCTTGTACAGTTGCTGGGATGGCTCTTCCCACAGGGAATGGTGGAATATGACCTGTTTTTCCTGACATACAGCTGGCTTTGGGAAGGGTTTTTAGCCAGCTCTCATGTTCCGACGTGAAGTGCTTTGATTTTCTGGGCAGGAAGGCAGCTCACTCCTGTGGGAACAGCTTTCCCTGAGCATCTTCTCTTTCCTTAGGGTACGGAGTCCATTAAGATGGAGAACGGGCAAAGCACGGCAGCAAAGCTGGGGCTGCCCCCTCTCACCCCAGAGCAGCAGGAAGCTCTCCAGAAAGTGAGTACAGCTGGTGGGAATTTGCTCTTTGCGGGGTGGTGGTGTGGTTCAATGAGCCTCTGTCACTGGTGGGGCCAAAGGGAACTCACCACCAGATCTCTGGGGTCGTGGCCATGCTGGAGGGTCCCACAGTCACATCTGGGCCCAGGAATTACTTGGTTTGGTTTAGAGTTCATGGGCACTTTTGGGAGCTTGGTGGGGAATTGCTGTTGGTGTGGGTGAGAGTGGGTTTGATTTAAAAAGTCAATCAGTTCAGAAAAATGGCATCCTGATTCAGATGGGAATTCTGAGCTGGGGTGTGGGTGCCACAAAGTCACTGAGGAGCTCCAGGGAGGCTGAAATTGGGATCTGCTGCAGCTGGCCTGTCACTGTCCCCACCCAGACTGGGACACATCCCAGAATATCCTCGGGATGGCAGGGACACAGAGCTCTGTGCTCGGGAGGCTCCGTGTGGCTGTCCCAGCTGTCCTCTCTGTGGGGTGGTGGCTCCCAGCCTCATTCCCTCTGGAGCCACATGCAAGCCCCCTTGTCCCTTTCCAGGTTTCCAAAGCACAGCCCTCACATCCCTGGGTTAGATCCTCCCATTCCCTGGCAGCTCCCAAACACAGCCACGGAGCCCAGGTGCCAGGGGGGGCTGAGTGTGTCCTGGGGACTGGCACACGTGTTTGCCTTGGCACTGAGCCTCCGTGCTGGCACCCCAGAGTCTCTGCTTTGCCACATTTGGGGAGGACTGAGAGAAACCCCAAGGGAGCCTTGTGTGGGCAGGCAGGGCCAGAGGTGAGCTGGGGCATTTGGGGAGCAGAGAGAAGAGCTGGTGTATTTTGGTGTAGAACCAGAGGTGAGCTGGGGCATTTGGGGAGCAGAGAGAAGAGCTGGTGTGTTTTGGGAGCAGATGCAAGGGGGTGCTGAGTGTGTCCTGGGGACTGGCACAGGCGTGGGGATGAGGTTTGCCTTGGCACTGAGCCTCCGTGCTGGCACCCCAGAGTCTCTGCTTTGCCAGATTTAGGGAGGACTGAGAGAAACCCCAAGGGAGCCTCTTGTGGGCAGGCAGGGCCAGAGGTGAGCTGGGGCATTTGGGGAGCAGAGAGAAGAGCTGGGGCATTTAAGGAGCAGAGCCAGAGGTGAGCTGGGGTATTTGGGGAGCAGAGAAAAGAGCTGGGGCATTTGGGGAGCAGAGAGAAGAGCTGGGGCATTTAAGGAGCAGAGCCAGAGGTGAGCTGGGCATTTGGGGATGAGGGAAAAGAGCTGGGGCGTTTGGGGAGCAGAGAGAAGAGCTGGGGCATTTAGAGAGCAGAGCCAGAGGTGAGCTGGGGCGTTTGGGGAGCAGAGAGAAGAGCTGGTGTGTTTTGAGAGCAGAGCCAAGATAGAGCTGGGACGTTTAGGGAGCAGATCCAGAGCAGGCCAGGTGTGCTGAGCGGGCAGAGCCCAGCCTGGGTGCCCATGGGAGGAGGGAGGTGGAGCCCCTTCCCTCCCGTAGCACCTGTCTGTGCAGACGCTCTCTGAGAGGACAGGACTGGAGGAGGCCGTGCCCTGCCCCGGCCCTGCAGGTAAGGGGCTGAGGTGGGCTGGAAGAGGGGAACGCCGAGCTCCCGGTGCATGCTGCTGCCCTGCGCTGCCCCTCACCACATCCTCTGTGTCCCGGGGCCTCGAGGTGCTGGGGAGCTGGGGGCAGTGACCTGGTGCTTAGGCGTGGATCTGGAATGTTCTGGGAGCTGTGGAGGCGTCGTTCCCTGCCCCGCCGTGCTCTGCTGCCCCTACAGCCCCTGTTTTCCTTCCAGGCCAAGAAGTACGCGATGGAGCAGAGCATCAAGAGCGTGCTGGTGAAACAAACCATCGCCCACCAGCAGCAGCAGCTCACCAACCTCCAGGTGAGAGCCCCCTGCGAGCCGCTCCCTCTGCCTCGTGCTCCCCCCGACACGGTGGAGTTCTCAGGGCCCTCGGAGCCAGAGCACAGCCCTGAGCCTGCAGCTCACCCAGGCACCCTGACTAACCTCACAAATTGCCCGCAGATCTCTCTTGTTCCGAGAGGAAATGGTTAACAGTTCCAGTCCTGTTGGACGTCCCTTCTTGACAAACAAGAAGCCAAAGACTTTGCCGTGGGCTTTGCTGCTGAGCCATGTTTGAGGTGGTGAAGGCAGAAGGGATCCTGGGAACGTGTCCTGTCACCATCTCCTCTGCCTGAGGGGTGGTCCCTGTGTCCCCATGTCCCAGTGCTGCCCCGTTTCCCTCCCCTGCACCCAGGTGCTCTCAATTTTGGAGAAGTTCTGTTGGCCGTTCCTGCTTGTACTGGAATGCCCGTACTGGGGAGAGCCCTTAACTGGGGTTTGACCTCCCCTCCTTCAGAGGTTTCTGGAACATGTCTCAGTGCCTTTTTCTCAAAGTCAGGAAGCCCAAAACGAGGGCTTTGCCTGAGGAATGCCCCTGGATGTGCTCCCCCTGCCCGGCAGCTGAGGCCGTTTGGGGCTGTGCCTGGTTCTGAGGGTCTGCTCTAGTGGAGGGGCTCCTTTTAAATGCTGGGGGTGAATCACCGACAGTGGTCGCAGAGGTTACTCTTGCCTTGAGTCCCCCCTGGGATCCCACCCTGCTTCCCGAGGCAGCGGCAGCAGCACAACCCCACCCTGGCCTGGTGGGACCGGACTCGGCAGGGTCCTGGCGCCGGACACTCCTGGGGACCAGGCAGTGAGGGCCGAGGAAGGAGAGGCCTCTCGCAGGTGCCCCTGCGCCGCCGCTCTGCTTGAGTTTGTACAAACAGCCGTAGTATGCTCAGCTCCAACAGACTGAACTCTGTCTTTACTGTCTTTCAGATGGCAGCAGTGACAATGGGCTTTGGAGATCCTCTCTCACCTTTACAATCGGTCAATAGACATATTCACTTCTTCTGGGGCACTTGTCTTAGTCAGGGCCTAGCGTGGGGACGTTCGTAGTGGTGCCAATGCTCTTGTCCGCGCCCAGCGCAGCCCTCCCACATCCCCACCTGTACTGGACACGCCCAGGAGCAGAGCGAGGTGTCACTGCCCCGAGAAGACCCCAGGCTGTGCAGTCTGCGGGGACACTGCCACTCGGGGGCAAAGACAGCTTTAGATTTCCACCAGTTCTGAACACACCCGTGAAATTGTGGGAGCTGCATTTCTAGGGATGCTACAGTTCTGAGGTCCCGACCTAAAACTAACGGCCAAGGTAACTCACCAAGGGGCGACTTCTTGTGGAACGACCTCCCAGCACCCAGAGCCGGCCGGTGCTGGGGAGGGCTGGGGTGCCGGAGCTTGGCAGAACATGGTGCAGCCCAGGCTCAGACTCTCTTTACTGTGCACGCTCCAGACCAGGGCAGTATGGCACGTTGGGGGTGCAGCAAAAGCAGGATGGAAGGGACGGAGCTGCAGGACTGATCAGAGAACTTGCGTGAGCCTTTGTGCCCCTTCTGATCAGAGGCCACAAAGAGCCGAATGACTTGGCACGAGCCATCCCCTCCTTTTTCCAAGACGTGCTGGACGAGGTGTCCTGTGACTCCTCTCTGCACCCAAAGGTTCACCTGTAAATTCTTTTGCACGTTTGTAAATACCTCTCCGTCTTGCTGGAATATGAGATTTGTGCCTGGTGTCAAACACGGGCGGAGGTTTGAACTCCAAGAAAAAGGGCACTGAGGTGAAGTGCCCAGTCTCCCTCCTTTGGCAGTGGGTGGTGTGTCAGTGGGGAGCCAGAATGAGTGTTCTGGGGCAGGGGTAAGTTTGGAGTGGAACAGAGCAGCCGTCTTGGTGTGGACTTGGCAGAGATGGTGTCCTCATGCCCAGGAACTCCCCCCATCCCTGGAGCTGCTGCCTGACAGTGGAACTCCAGCAATTTGGCCTAAATTGTTTCTGGCTCGTTCTCCCCAGCTGGGCACAGCTGAGTTGGTGGCACAGGAAAGTTTTATTGGCTTGTGGACCCCCAGGGCACCGGGCTGTGACCCCTTTTCCTCAGCCATTCCTCCCTCAGGGGTCACAGGTGGGCACGGCCCAGGAGCAGGAGCCTGGTGCAGTTTAGAGCAGTCAGGCGCAATTTGGCCTAAATTGTTTCTGGCTCGTTCTCCCCAGCTGGGCACAGCTGAGTTGGTGGCACAGGAAAGTTTTATTGGCTTGTGGACCCCCAGGGCACCGGGCTGTGACCCCTTTTCCTCAGCCATTCCTCCCTCAGGGGTCACAGGTGGACATGGCCCAGGAGCAGTTTAGAGCAGTCAGGATATCCCATTCCTGGCAGGTGCTTCATTCCAGAGCCCGCTCAGAGTGCACAAAGAGCAAACAGCCCCTGTCCAGCGCTTTTCCTGTTGCCAGTGTTCCTCAGTTCCTTTGTGGAGGCAGCACAGCCTGAGCTCCCTGAGCTCTGGGTTTCACGGCCTGAGTTAGAGCTTCCCATGGGCTCAGTCCTCAGTGTCACAGTGCAAGATTCCCACGTCCCCTCACCATCCCCTGTGTCATGACCGATGCTTGTGGTGAGGGTTGTGCATCACCTGCTTTGATTACAGGAGCACCCCAAGGTGGGGTTTTGGCCTGTCCTTAAAATAACCTCCCAGTCCTTTCACAGCTGCAGGTGGGAGCTGCTGCCTGGCTGAGGCTTCAGGTGATTTCCATGTTACAGGAGGAGAAAGAGGCACAGGGAGCAGTGAAACCAGCCTGGGCGCTGCTGAGAGCAGTGAGCTGTCCAGGCAGGAGGCCCTGACACCGAGCTGTGCCGAGCTCAGGTGCCCAGGGCACAGCTCCCACCCAGATCTCCTGTTGGTGACCCACAGTCAGCACAGCCCATCTCAGCTCTGCCTCCTGCAAGCCCAAAATCTCAGGCTCATCAAGGCTGGGAAAGGTCATGGAGTCCAAGCTGTGCCTGATGCCCACCCTGTCACCAGCCCAGTCCAGGTGTTCCCTGGACACCTCCAGGGATGGGGACACCACACCTCCCTGGGCAGCCTCTTCCAGTGCCTGACCACCCTTTGCAGCAAGGAATTCTGCTGCCTGAAAATCCTCCTCACTCCCTCACCTCTCCTTTAGAGTCCTGTGGCAGGGCAAGGTGGGGGTTTCTTCGGGAGAGGCGTCTCCCTGGGACACCCAGGGTGACACTGGTGGTGGCTCTGAGCCCCTGAACAGATATGCTGCAGCCTGAGGGGCTTTCCTGCACCAAAGCTGGGAGAGCGCTGGAGCACCTGGGAGAGCAGCCAGCCTCTGTCCTGCATGTGCACGTGCCATAGTCCTGCTGGTCACAGCCTGCAGAGTAAAGAGAGCCGTGGCCCAGCCGTGCTGGGAAATCCTTAGCCAGGCAGGGGGCGAGCTGGATGTCACCTCAGGGGAAGCAGCTGGGGCTGGATGTCACCTCAGGGGCAGTCTGGGCTGAATGTCACCTCAGGAGCAACAGTTGGGGTTTAATGTCACCTCAGGAGCAACGTTGGAGGCTTGATGTCACCTCAGGAGCAGCATTTGGGGCTCGGTGTCACCTCAGGAGCAGTAGTTTGGGCTCAATGTCACCACAGGATCAGAGTCTGGGGCTGGATGTCACCTTAGGGGCAGAGTCCAGGGCTTGATGTCACCTGAGGAGCAGCAGCTGGGGTTTAAGGTCACCTCAGGAGCAGCAGTTGGGGTCTAATGTGGCCTCCTCAGGGACAGTCTGGGGTGAGAGCTGTCCCTGTTTGCAGTGTCCTGTGTGGAGTGGCAGGAGTCAAACCCTCCCAGGTTGTTTCTTCCCGTGGCCAGTCCTAGACAGGAGCAGGAGTCCCTCGGGTGCAGGCTGTGTCCCTGCTGCTGTGCCTGTCACAGATGAGCTCTCCCTCCTTTTGGGCTGCAGCATCCCCAGGCAGAGCTCCTGTGCTCATTAGGGCACCCCAAAAATCAGCCTTGAGGAGGCCCTGAGTGCTTTCCCTCTGCCCCAGGGGTCCCCAGGTTTGGCAGACAGAGCTCCTCTGCTCCTTAGGGCACCCCAGAAATCATCTCCCGAAGGTCCTGGTTGCAGCCCCTGTGCCCTGGGGGTGCTAGGGAGGGAAGGGGGTGCTCAGAGCTCCCTGCTGTGGTGCTGGGCAGGGCCAGAGGCATCACCTGCTGCTGCTGCACCAGCCTCTTCCTGCCCCAGGTGTGTCCCACCTGCCCCAGAGCCATCCCCTCACATGCAGGCAGTGACTCCTCCAGAGCCCCGAGGTGTGGCCGCATCTCCAGGGCCACGTCCCTCAGCAGCTCCAGAGCTGCTCTGGGGGTGACAGACACGAAGGACACACTGTGCTCTGCTTTTGGGGTCCCTCCTGTGAGGAATGGCTGGATTTGTCTTGAAAGCAGCTTTCCAGGCAGACTTAGGACACCATAGCAGGAGCAGCACCCTTGTGTTGGGGCTGCCCCAGTACAGCCAGTGCCGCCAGGCAGGGATGAGTACTGGCACCACACGCTTCCCAGGAGTCCCACTGGGCCATGGGAGTGGTTTTGGCTTTGCTGTTGAGCTGTGGAAGTGGTGCCCAGTACTGGATCTCGGACTGCCGGGGGCAGGGGGAGGCTCTGGTGCCGGAGGGAGGGGGGAGGTTCCCAGCTGCAGCCCCTTCGCTGCCGGGGAGGCCGGGCGGGGGCGGGCGTGCCGATGGATCTCTGCTCCTGGGGGGGAGCGGGAGGGGTTCTCCCAGTGCCCAGAGAGCTGAGCCCTGTGCTGCCTGGAGGGGGAAGCCGCCCTAGAGAGAAGGGATTCCCTCCTGCTGCAGGCGTGGCTGGAGATGAGATCAGGCCGGAGGGGCCGAAGCGACGAGCCGGACTTTATCCGGCGCCGAGCCGGGCGGATCCGCTCCAGCGGCCTGTGCAGCGAGCAGGGAAATCCTTCTGACCCAGGCTGTGCCAGAGCTGCCGGCGGGGCTGGCTCCCGGGAGGGAAGCAGCAGGGGGAGGAGGCCCCGGTGGCCACGGCCAGCCCGGCGCTGACCGGCCAGTCCTTGTCTCGCTACAGATGGCGGCCCAGAGGCAGCGCGCGCTCGCCATCATGTGCCGGGTCTACGTGGGCTCCATCTACTACGAGCTGGGCGAGGACACCATCCGCCAGGCCTTCGCCCCCTTCGGGCCCATCAAGAGCATCGACATGTCCTGGGACTCCGTCACCATGAAGCACAAGGTGGGATGGGGCTGCTGGGAGCGGGAGGTTGCCTGCCTGCTGTAAGGTCCTGGGTGGGCTTTAGGGTCCCGTCCCACCACAAACCATTCTGGAATTGCTTCAGTCTGGCAAAAATCAGGTGAACTGTCCTGGGAAGGGCTGGAATTCCTCAGGGGCAGCGAGAGCTGGTGGTGCTGATGGCCCAGTGATGAGGGGTCTTCTGCAAGGACGTTTCTTTCACAACACAAAATAGCTTTGCAGAATTCCGGAAGGAATTCTTCCCCGTGAGGGTGGTGAGGCCCTGGCACAGGTTGCCCAGAGAATCTCTGGCTGTCCCATCCCTGAAAATGTCCAAGGTCAGGCTGGATGGGGTTTGGAGCAACCTGGTGTAGTGGAAGGTGTGGGGCTGGATGGGCTCTAAGGTCCCTACAACCCAAACCTTTCTGTGATTCTGTGATTCCCAGCCCTCAAGGAACATCCTCCTCTCTTCAAGGCTTTCCAGATGCAGCCAGGAGAGGAAAGGGCCTCTATCCCTGTGAAGAACAGGCTCCTTTTAGCACTGGGGCTGAGTGTTTGCAGCTCCCTGATCTGCTTAGGGCAGGATTCTGTGGTGGGAGCGAGGGATGTGTGGGGGGAAGTGCACAGAATCAGAATTGTTGAGGTTGGAAGAGAGCACCCAGAGCACTGAGTGCCACATTCAGTCATTCCTTGGGCATCTCCAGGGGCAAGGACTCCACACCTCCTTGGACAGCCCCTTCCAATGCCTGACCACCCTTTCAGTGAAGAAATTCCTCCTGGTGTCCAACCTGAAGCTCTGGAAGTGCTGACAAGGCAGCAGCCCTTAGTTAGGTGGGGCTTTGCTGCAGGGCCTCAGAGTCCAGGAGGCTCCAGAATCAGAAATCCTTGGGGGAACCTCTGCAGGGCCCTTTCTGCCATAATAAAATGCTTCTCTAAGGAACCTTCTAGGGCCACGAGCAGGAATCAGTGAGGTGGGAATCAACTTCACCTGTGGGTCCATGGGAAAGCTTGGCACAGCTGGAATGACTGACAGGTGTCTTCTCCCATCCCAGGGCTTTGCCTTTGTGGAGTACGAGGTTCCTGAGGCCGCCCAGCTGGCCCTGGAGCAGATGAATTCTGTCATGCTGGGGGGCAGGAACATCAAGGTGAGTAACACGCCTGCTCTGGAAATTCCTGCTTCTCTTTGCCTGGCAGTAACGGTTCCACGCCTGGAAATGTTCCCCACAGCACTGTGATGGTCCCTGATGGACCTGGAAATGCTCCCCACAGCACTGTGATGGGGGAAGGAGCCTAAAGACTGTTCCCTGATGGACCTTGATGTCCAACATGGGACACACAGTGGCTCTGGGTCCCTCCTCTCCGAGGAGAAACCCCTGGCCTGCAAATCCCACCTGAGACTGGCTCCAAAGACTGCAGTCAGGTTTTCCCACCCACACATGGAATTCTTTTGAAGCAAAGCAAAGGTGATTATTTATATTTTTCATGGTGTCTCTGACACGCCCTGAGTGTGTGCAGAGTGCCACGGCCCAGGGGGTTTAGGAAAGAGGTGGGAATGCTGTGAATTGCTTGCAGAATGCTTCTGAGTCCCTGGAAGTTTGGCAGGTCATGGAGGAGGGAGCAGAGCCCAGTTCCTTGTCAGTGCTGTTCCAGGACCTGTTCCCTCTGAGCTGTGCTGTGGCCTAAAGACTGTTCCCTGGTGGACCTTGATGTCCAACATGGGGCACACAGTGGCTCTGGGTCCTTCCTCTCCGAGGAGAAACCCCTGGCCTGCAAATCCCACCTGAGACTGGCTCCAAAGACTGCAGTCAGGTTTTCCCACCCACACATGGAATTCTTTTGAAGCAAAGCAAAGGTGATTATTTATATTTTTCATGGTGTCTCTGACACGCCCTGAGTGTGTGCAGAGTGCCACGGCCCAGGGGGTTTAGGAAAGAGGTGGGAATGCTGTGAATTGCTTGCAGAATGCTTCTGAGTCCCTGGAAGTTTGGCAGGTCATGGAGGAGGGAGCAGAGCCCAGGACCCTGTCAGTGCAGGCTGTTCCTGGACCTGTTCCCTCTGAGCTGTGCTGTGCTTTGCACAAAATAAGCAGCTTTGCCTTTTTTCTCCTGTCCATACCACAGAATAATGGAGCTGTTCACATGGGAAAATCCATCCCAGCCCACAGGTCCAGCCTGTCACCATCCCACCCTGTCAGCTAGACTGAGTGCCACATCCAGGCATTCCTTTGATGTCTCCCAGGACTCCAGCACCTCCTGGGGCAGCTCATTCCAGTGCCTGAATGTCCTTCCTTGAAGAGATTCCTCCTGATGTCCAGCTGAACCTCCCCTGGCACAGCTGGAGACTATTTCCCTGTGTCCTGTCCCTGTTCCCTGGGAGCTGAGCCCTCCCCTCCTGTCAGGAGTTGTGCAGAGCCACAAGGTCCCCCTGAGCCTCCTTTCCTCCAGGCTGAGCTCCTTCCAGCTCCCTCAGCACTCCTGGTTCTCCAGAGCCTCCTTTTCTCCAGGCTGAGCCCCTTCCCAGCTCCCTCAGCACTCCTGGTTCTCCAGAGCCTCCTTTCCTCCAGGCTGAGCTCCTTCCAGCTCCCTCAGCACTCCTGGTTCTCCAGAGCCTCTTTTCCAAGCCCCTTCCCAGCTCCCTCAGTACTCCTGTTTAGGAATGTGCCCTCTGTTGACAGAGTGACAAAGCTGTCCTTGGTCCCCTTAAAAAGGAAAGAAGCCCAGAAGTTTCTCTCCTCAATTAGGTGAAAAGCCACCTCAGAGGACCTTGGAAACTTCACCTCAAACATAAGGATAGCTAATTGGACAGGAGTCAAAAAGTCCCACCTGGACAATTTACTAGAAAAAAAGAAGAGAACAAAGAAACTAATGGCTTTTGTGAGGTGTTTTACCAGGAGCAAGAACCCCTTGCACCTGGATCAGTTTTTTGTTTGTTTTTTTGCCTTCTATGAAACCTTTTTGTTTCCAACACTGCAGCAGAAGCCATCCTGCTGATTTTTATGCCCCCAAAGGTAGCTGAGCTATCTTGGATGTGATACAGCCTCCAAAAGCTTGTGAGCCCTGGCTGGAGGAGGCACCTGTAACACTCCTGGTACTCCAGGCCCTTCCCAAGCCCATTCCATGCCTGTCCCTGCAGGTGGGGAGGCCCAGCAACATCGGGCAGGCTCAGCCCATCATTGACCAGCTGGCAGAGGAGGCCCGGGCCTTCAACCGCATCTACGTGGCCTCAGTGCACCAGGACCTGTCCGACGACGACATCAAGAGCGTGTTCGAGGCCTTTGGGAAGATCAAATCCTGCACCCTGGCCAGGGACCCCACGACAGGGAAGCACAAAGGCTACGGCTTCATTGGTACAGCCGGCTGGAGCTGGGCAGGGCAGGGGCAGGGTGCTCTGCTCCTGGGGCTGGCCTCGGGGCTGGGCTTCCCACCCTAGTGAGGGGATTTGTTAGGGGGTAGGAATAGATTTGGAGCGGGTCAGGGTGGGATTTAGAAATGTAATTTATGGTGGTTGTGAGGGAGTGAGGTGCTGGCACAGGGCGCCCAGAGGAGCTGTGGGTGCCCCAGCCCTGGCAGTGCCCAAGGCAGGTTGAACAGGCTTGGAGCAACCTGGGACAGAGGAAGGTGGCCCTGCCCATGGCAGGGAGCAGGACTGGAAGGTGTTTGAGGTCCCTTCCCACCCAAACCATTCCATAGTTCCGTGATTGAACAACAGAAGGCTCATTGGTGGATGATCTCCTCCTGCAGAGTATGAGAAGGCGCAGTCCTCCCAGGACGCCGTGTCCTCCATGAACCTCTTTGACCTGGGGGGTCAGTACCTGCGGGTGGGCAAGGCCGTGACGCCCCCGATGCCACTCCTGACCCCGGCCACACCTGGAGGGCTCCCCCCTGCAGCTGCTGTGGCTGCTGCTGCTGCCACCGCCAAGATCACGGCTCAGGTGAGACACGGGGCAGGCACAGGTGAGACAGGGGGGAGGCACAGGGGAGACACGGGGGTGAAACAGGGGAGGGACAGGTGAGACACAGGGGAGAGATGGGGATGGAACAGGGGGAAACACAGGTGAGACGTGGGGATGGAACAGGGGAGGGACAGGTGAGACATGGGGTGGAACAGGGGAGACACGGGGGTGGAACAGGGGGAGACAGGTGAGACGTGGGGTGGAACAGGGGAAACACGGGGGTGGAACAGGGGAGACACGGGGGTGGAACAGGGGAGGGACAGGTGAGACACAGGGGAGAGATGGGGATGGAACAGGGGGAGACACAGGTGAGACACAGGGATGGAACAGGGGAGGGACAGGTGAGACGTGGGGTGGAACAGGGGAAACACGGGGGTGGAACAGGGGAGACACGGGGGTGGAACAGGGGAGGGACAGGTGAGACACAGGGGAGAGATGGGGATGGAACAGGGGGAGACACAGGTGAGACACAGGGATGGAACAGGGGAGGGACAGGTGAGACGTGGGGTGGAACAGGGGAAACACGGGGGTGGAACAGGGGAGACACGGGGGTGGAACAGGGGAGGGACAGGTGAGACACAGGGGAGAGATGGGGATGGAACAGGGGGAGACACAGGTGAGACACAGGGATGGAACAGGGGAGGGACAGGTGAGACGTGGGGTGGAACAGGGGAAACACGGGGGTGGAACAGGGGAGACACGGGGGTGGAACAGGGGAGGGACAGGTGAGACACAGGGGAGAGATGGGGATGGAACAGGGGGAGACACAGGTGAGACACAGGGATGGAACAGGGGAGGGACAGGTGAGACGTGGGGTGGAACAGGGGAAACACGGGGGTGGAACAGGGGAGACACGGGGGTGGAACAGGGGAGGGACAGGTGAGACACAGGGGAGAGATGGGGATGGAACAGGGGGAGACACAGGTGAGACACAGGGATGGAACAGGGGAGGGACAGGTGAGACGTGGGGTGGAACAGGGGAAACACGGGGGTGGAACAGGGGAGACACGGGGGTGGAACAGGGGAGGGACAGGTGAGACACAGGGGAGAGATGGGGATGGAACAGGGGGAGACACAGGTGAGACACAGGGATGGAACAGGGGAGGGACAGGTGAGACGTGGGGTGGAACAGGGGAAACACGGGGGTGGAACAGGGGAGACACGGGGGTGGAACAGGGGAGGGACAGGTGAGACACAGGGGAGAGATGGGGATGGAACAGGGGGAGACACAGGTGAGACACAGGGATGGAACAGGGGAGGGACAGGTGAGACGTGGGGTGGAACAGGGGAAACACGGGGGTGGAACAGGGGAGACACGGGGGTGGAACAGGGGAGGGACAGGTGAGACACAGGGGAGAGATGGGGATGGAACAGGGGGAGTGCCACCGCCAAGATCACGGCTCAGGTGAGACACGGGGCAGGCACAGGTGAGACGGGGGAGGCACAGGGGAGACACGGGGGTGGAACAGGGGAGGGACAGGTGAGACACAGGGGAGAGATGGGGATGGAACAGGGGGAGACACAGGTGAGACACAGGGATGGAACAGGGGAGGGACAGGTGAGACGTGGGGTGGAACAGGGGAAACACGGGGGTGGAACAGGGGAGACACGGGGGTGGAACAGGGGGAGACACAGATGAGACATGGGGGTGGAACAGGGGGAGACACAGGTGACACATGGGGGTAGAACCGGTGAGATGGGGGGTGGAACAGGGGGAGACACGGGGGTGGAACAGGTGAGACACAGGGACAGCTCAGATGAGACACAGGGACATCTCAAGGGAGACAGGGACAGCTCAAGGGAGACACAGGTGAAACATGGGGACGGCTTGGGAGGGACAGGGACAGCTCACGAGACACAGGGACAGCTCAAGGGAGACACAGGGACAGCTCAAGGGAGACACAGGGACAGCTCAAGGGAGACACAGGGACAGCTCAGGTGAGACACAGGGACAGCTCAGGTGATGCACAGGTGAAACATGGGGACGGCTCGGGAGGGACAGGGACAGCTCAGGTGAGACACGAGGATGTGTTCCAGCACTTTCCCTTTCCCCTTTGATAGGAGTGGCCTTGTGGGCACTGGGAGCAGAGTCCTGATGGGATGGGCTGGATCCCAGAGCTTGGGCATTTATGTGGAGGAGAGTTGGGATAGAAAGTTGGGAGCCCTGATGGGATGGGCTGAATTCCAGAGCTTGGGCATTTATGTGGAGGAGAGTTGGGATATCACAGCAGTCACAGATCCACTGACATCTGGGATGGAGGGACAAACCTTGGGATCTGCTCTGGCTCACCAGAGGTTACAGGAGCCCTGGGAATAAAAGGGAGAGAAGGGTGTGAGCAATTAAACCTGGAAAGCAACAACAGCCAAAAACCACTGGGATCCTGGAGTGTGTTTTAGGCACATTATTTCAGTACTTCCATGGAAGTGCTCACTGCTCAGCTGGATGTTCCTCCTGGATGTTGTTGGAGTTGTGGGCGCCTGGAGTCAGGGTGTTCCTTGGGATTTGAGTTCCAGGAGGTTTTCCTTCCAAGGTGCTTCAGAGTTTCTGTTTCCCTGCTGGGCTGGGTGACACCTCTGCCTTCCCAAGCAGCACTGGGAGCTCCTGGGGATGGGAATATTGGGAATTTGCCAGGAGTGGGACAGCTGAGCCTGGCTGGCTGCTCTGCAGGGACAGGGGTGACCCCAGCTTTTCTGTGTGTCCTGCAGGAAGCCGTGGCAGGAGCTGCAGTGCTGGGCACGCTGGCAACCCCGGGGCTCGTGTCCCCTGCCCTGACCCTGGCCCAGCCCCTGGGGGCTCTGCCCCAGGCCGTGATGGCTGCACAGGCCCCTGGTGTCATCACAGGTGGGTCCCCTCCTCCTGGCACCTGTGTCCCCTGTCTGCAGGCACCTGTGTGTGTCCTCTTCTGTCACCTGTGTGTGTCCCCCCTATTGCTGGCCCCCATGTCACTTCCTGCAGGCACCTCTGTGTGTCCCCTCTTCCCTGTCACCTCTGTGTGTCCCTTCTTCTTGGCCCACGTGCCCCCTTCCTTCTGTCATGTGTGTGTGCTCTTGTCACCTGTGTGCTTCTCCTCCTGTCACCTGTGTGTGCTCTGCCCCTTGTCACCCGTGTCCCTGTCCCACAGACGGGACTCTGTGCCCGGAATCCTGCTCCTGGCCCTGCCTGGGCACGAGCTTGGGTGTTCTGTGGATTGATTTTGGTGTCCAACAGATGGGACCGGCCGTGGGTTCCCGGCAGGAACACCTGGCATGGGGGAAAGCTGGATAACTGGCACAGGTGTCACTGACCTGGCCTGGGTACCACTGAATGTTTCCAAAGTGTCACTTCCCACTGCCCAGCTGCCACTGACCACTGCCCAGCTGTCACGGATCACTGTCCAGCTGTCACTGCCCATTGCCCAGGTGTCACCACTGCCCAGCTGTCACTGACCACTGCCCAGGTGTCACTGACCATGGCCTGGGTACCACTCAATGTTTCCAAAGTGTTACTGACCACTGCCCAGCTGTCACTGCCCATTGCCCAGCTGTCACTGACCATGGCCTGGGTACCACTGAATGTTTCCCAGCTGTCACTGCCCATTGCCCAGGTGCCACTGACCACTGCCCAGGTGTCACTGACCATGGCCTGGGTACCACTCAATGTTTCCAAAGTGTTACTGACCACTGCCCAGCTGTCACTGCCCATTGCCCAGCTGTCACTGACCATGGCCTGGGTACCACTGAATGTTTCCCAGCTGTCACTGACCACTGCCCAGGTGTCACTGCCCATTGCCCAGCTGTCACTGACCATGGCCTGGGTACCACTGAATGTTTCCCAGCTGTCACTGCCCATTGCCCAGGTGCCACTGACCACTGCCCAGGTGTCACTGACCATGGCCTGGGTACCACTCAATGTTTCCAAAGTGTTACTGACCACTGTCCACATGTCACTGACCACTGCCCAGGTGTCACTGACCATAGCCTGGATATCACTGAATGTTTCCAAAGTGTCACTGACCACTGCCCAGCTGTCACTGCCCATTGCCCAGCTGTCACTGACCACTGCCCAGGTGTCACTGACCATGGCCTGGGTTTCCCAGCTGCCCAGCTGTCACTGACCATGCTGTCCCCGTGCTCTCCCAGGTGTGACCCCCGCCCGGCCGCCCATCCCGGTGACCATCCCGCAGGTGGGGGTGGTGAACCCCATCCTGGCCAGCCCCCCGGCGCTGGGGCTGGTGGAGGTGAAGAAGGAGAAGGAGGAGGAGGAGGTGTTCCAGGAGTCGGAGCGGCCCGAGATGCTGAGCGAGCAGGAGCACATGAGCATCTCGGGCAGCAGCGCCCGCCACATGGTCATGCAGAAGCTGCTGCGCAAGCAGGAGGTGAGAGAGCAGGGCACAGCTGTGTGCCAGGCTGGGCTCTGCAGGGCAGGGGCTCAGGGGCACCCACAGCCAGAGGAGCCCCCAGAATGGGTGACAAGGTGGGCACTGGGTTGGACTCCATGGTCCTGGAGGTCTTTGCCCACCTTGACTGATTCTGTGACTCCCTGAGGTGGGAATTGCAGTGAGGAAGAGGACAAGAATGAGAAAAAGAACATTAGAACATTCATGGATTTTTGTGGGGGCTGTTGGAGGGGACTTGGTGGTCTTGCCTGGCCATGTCCAGTTTGTTCCTTTGCTGGAGTCTCCTGACAGATTTCCTGAGCTTTGACAGGGAACCTACAGTATTTCTTCGCCATTTGCTAAAAGGGATAATGCTGGCAGCATTCCCCAAGGGTTGAGGGCTCCCTCTTTTCCCAGGGGTGCCTGAAGTTAAGCACACCTTGGAGCTCCTGTCCCAGCAGCCACAAAACCACCTCAATCCGTGGGACAGCCTGGCTTGGCAAAAGCTGAGCAGAGCTAAATAGTCTCATTTAAGGTTAAAAAAAAATTAATACCCAAAAAAACCCAAAACCTTCAGCTTTACTGGGAGGGCAGGAAGGGAACACAAAGAGAATTGTGACAGAATTGAGGAATTGTTGAGGAAAAGCCAAAAATACCTGTGTGGTATTTTCAGGTTTCCCTGTCAAAGGCAAGGAAAATGATGAATCTGACTCCATGTTCTTGGAAGGCTAATTGATTATTTAATGATATTAAATTACTAAAGAATACTAAACCAAACTGTACTAAATGATACAGAAAGGATACAGACAGAAAAATAGAAAGACACTAATGAAATCTCGTGACTGTCCCCAGAATCTCAGCATGGTTTGACCATGATTGGCCGTTAAGTAAAAAAAAATTCACATGAAACCAATGAAGTAAGCACCTACCACATTCCAAAGCAGCAAAACACAGCAGAAGCAAATCAGATTATAATTGTTTAGATTTTTCTCTGAGGCTTCCCAGGAGAGAAATCCTGGCGAAGGGATTTTTCCAGAAAACATGACAGTGGCACACCTGGCTGGCAGCAGCACAGGGAAAATGAGAGAGGTGCCCAAGGCTCCTTGTGATTCCAGGATGTATCCCAGGAAATGGCACAGAACATTCCCTGATCCACAGGAATTCTGATCCAGGGGAATTCTGATCCAGGGGCCAGCCCCTAACAGCCAGCACCACACCGGCCTGGAAACTTGTTACCACTTTTCACAGAGCAAAGCAAGGCACAATGCTTCCCAAGAATATTTCTGAGTTTCACATTCCCTGAACATCAGAGAGAGGAAAAACAGTTCTTGCCATTTGCTGTGCTTGTGTTGTGCCAGAGTAGAATGCAATATTGGGATTTTTTGCCCAGAGTGATGGTGTTTTGTTCCCTTGGCCTATCAGGGCCAAGAGTGTGTGTCTGGACAGTCACAAGATGAGTGCAGAGCGAGTGCTTGGCAGATTCAGTTGAAATGTAGTATAATCAAGTAATTAATTAGCCTTCTAATAAGATGAAGTCCTCCTCATCATTCCTCCTTTGCCGGGTTGCCAGGCAGCAAACGAAACTCAGCAATCATCCCTGAGAGCCTGAGCCAGCAGCCCCTGGGGCGTGCCTGCAGTGGGGTTTGGGGTTTGGGGTGTTCCCTGCGTGCCCCCAGGCGCTCATTCCCTGCTCCCTCCCTGCAGTCCACGGTGATGGTGCTGCGGAACATGGTGGATCCCAAGGACATCGACGACGACCTGGAGGGAGAGGTGACGGAGGAGTGCGGCAAGTTCGGGGCTGTGAACAGGGTCATCATCTACCAGGAGAAGCAGGGCGAGGAGGAGGACGCCGAGATCATCGTCAAGATCTTCGTGGAGTTCTCCATGGCCTCAGAGACTCACAAGGCCATCCAGGCGCTCAACGGGCGCTGGTTTGCGGGCAGGAAGGTGGTGGCCGAGGTCTACGACCAGGAGAGGTTCGACAACAGCGACCTCTCAGCATGAACTGCACCCCGGGGCTGGCCTGGGGCTGGGGCTGCTCCCAGGGCCTGGATCTGGGGATGAGCCCAGCTCTGATCCCAACTCTGATCCCAGGGCCTGGATCTGGGGATGGGCCTGGCTCTGATCCCAGGGCCTGGATCTGGGACTGGGCTGGGTCTGGGGCTGCTCCCAGGGCCTGGATCTGGGGATGGGCCTGGCTCTGATCCCAGGGCCTGGATCTGGAGATGGGCCTGGTTCTGATCCCAGCTCTGATCCCAGGGCCTGGATCTGGGGATGAGCCTGACTGATCCCAGCTCTCATCCCAGGGCCTGGATCTGGGGCTGATCCCAGGGCCTGGATATGGGACTAGGCTGGGTCTGGGGCTGATCCCGGGCCTGATCCCAGGGCCTTGATCTGGGACTAGGCTGGGTCTGGGGATGGGCCCGGCGCTGATCCCAGGGCTTGGCTGGGCTTGGCTTCTGGGCATTGGTCTATCTGTGATCCCAGGGCTCATCTGGTTGAGCTGAGATCCAGGGAATTGGCCCAGCTCTGGTCCCAGGGCTTGTCCAAGCTCAGATCCAGGGAAATGGTCCAGCTGTGTTCCAAGGGACTGGCCAAGCTGGGATGCAGAAAATCAGCCCAGCTCTGTTCCAAGGAATTGACCCGGCTCTGTTCCAAGGAACTGGCCAAGCTCAGATCCAGGGAATCAGCCCAGCTCTGTTCCAAGGAACTGGCCCAGCTCAGATCCAAGGAATCAGCCCAGCTCTGTTCCAAGGAATTGACCCGGCTCTGTTCCAAGGAACTGGCCAAGCTCAGATCCAGGGAATCAGCCCAGCTCTCCTCTGGGGACCGGCCCTGCCCCCTCTGCCTCCCAGGGCTTTTGTGTAAAGGACATTCCAGGACATTCCAGGGCAGGCACAGGGATCTGGGCTCTGGAGAGTTGAGATAAAAAAGCAAACAAAGCCGGTGTCACTTGTGTGTGTGTGTGTGACAGGGCTGCCACCGCCTCAGCCTGGGCTGGCACAGGGCTGGCACTGCACTGGAACCTCCTCAGCCCGGTTTGGCCCCTCCTCAGCCCGGTTTGGCCCCTCCTCGGCCCAGTTTGGCACCTCTCAGCCTGGGCCTGGCTCTCCCTGACCCAGTTTGGCACCTCCTCAGCCCAGTTTGGCTCCCTCCAGGATGGCCCCGGGGCTTCGGATGGAGCCAGGGGGGAATTTGGGGAGGGGGATTCACCCCTGGAGGCTCCTGTGGGAACTGGGGGTGCTGGGAGGGAGCCCTGATCCCGAGGAACTGAGCTGAGCCCGTGCTCAGGAATTCCAGAGGGCTGGGATCCCGCAGGAGGCTGGAGGAAATGATCCTGTTAATTAAGATGCAGATCTGAGCAGGAGGATGTCCAGGATCAGGGAATTCCGAGGGAGGGAAAACCCTGGCTCTGGGTGGTGCTGCCAGGCCTGGGCATGTCCTGCAGCAGGGCTGGGAGACTCCCGGGGCTGGAATGGCTCAGGGAATTCCAAGGGAGGGAAAACCCTGGCTCTGGGTGGTGCTGCCAGGCCTGGGCATGTCCTGCAGCAGGGCTGGGAGACTCCCGGGGCTGGAATGGCTCAGCCTGGAGCACAGGCAGCAGGATGGGCTCCACAGCCGGCGCCCTGACCCAGTTTGGCATGGGATTTGGGATGCAGGGATTTGGGATTTGGGGATTTGGGGATGTGGGATGCTGTGTCTGCAACAGCTGGAGTTTGGGATGCAGGGATTTGGGGATGCAGGGATGTGGGATGCTGTGTCTGCAGCAACTGGGATTTGGGGATGCTGTGTCTGCAGCAGCTGGCAATGGACAGTGGCTCATCCACAAAATGGCAGCTCTGGCTGCCAATACCCCTGGTGTTGAATCAGCCAAATACACATTCATAAGCTGTCATATATACTCAAAAACTTTCCTTATAAATCTCTGACCCCTCCCAAAGTGTCCCAGTTGACTCTTCCTTGCTGTGCATTGGTGGAAACCTTCTTGCAATCTGATTGGAGGTGGGATGTTGCCATGCCATGCCTCCCCAGTAACAGGCTTCTCCTATTCCCAACTGCCCCATGCAAGGGGCACAGGTACACGCTCTCCCTCCACATGTCCTTGACCCCTTGATATCCAAACCTGTCCTGTGGCAACAGTAGAGGGGAAGGCAAAGAGGACTGTGAGGAGAACAGAGAGTGCCCAAACAAGAAACTAACATGAGTGTACATCAACAAAACTTCTCTTAAAACTCACACAATATTAATCCCTTAATTGTGAGAGTCAGTCATCATATTACACATCTATAACAAAGCTGTGGCTGCCTCATCCCTTGAAGGGTCCAAGGCCAGGTTGGGACAGGCCTGGAGCAGCCTGGCCCAGGTGAGGCAGAGTGGAAATTTTCCAGAGCAGAAATCCATTTTGATTTAGGTGAAATGTACATCTTTGAATTAAGACTGTAGTGTGCAAACATAGCTGTTTGGTATGACTGCTTGTTCTTGCAAAAAACCAATGCTCTAAGAACCTGCTTCAGCTAAAGGTCAGAGATAAGGAAGGGCTCCTTGAACTCTGAAACAGATGGAGAGGATGCAGGAAACAGCACAGAATGACCCAGGAGTTCTTTCTGTATTTTCTGATAAAAAACTAGCTGCAAGTGTAACGTGAAATCAGTAAAATGAATATTTATGAACCTGTTGTGAAATCCCATGCATACGGATTAGTAAGAAAGATAAAGGGATCTGGAGTTCCCAGAGGTACACGTCTTTTTGATGGGAGTGATCCCCACATGCGACCAGAACTATATAAACATAGCGGCATTACGACTTTTGCAAAAGTTGTAGAGTAGATTTCCTTTTCCGCAATTCAAGGGGGAAGATGTCCCTGCCCATGGCAGGGCTGGCACCGCACGGGCTTTAAGGTCGCTCCATCCCAAACCATTGCAGAGCCCCCGGGGCCGGGATGGGGCGGGCGCTCGGCAGCGCCAGCAGCTCGTGCTGCCGCCTGCTGGTGGCACCCGGAACTGCAGCTGGGGGTGGCGCATGCGCAGTGCCGCTGATTCCCCGCTCTCACTGCTGCCCTCCTGTGGACACTTCCCGAACTGCACCTCCAGGAGATGAGCGGGTAAGGAGGGAAAATCCCTGATTTGAAAGAAAAAAGTTTCCTGAGCGAAACAGTTTTTTCATCATAAATGTGTGGTGCTGCCTCTGTCCCCATTTCTCCATTTTACTTTTCATCTTTCTTTCTTTATCAGCTCAGACTCACAGCAGATCTCTCCTGGTCCTGCAGCTCAGGGGGACTTTGCCACTTTTATCCACTGTAATTATAAATATTTATTAAAATGGTCTTCTTAGCTAATACAAAACCAGCACATTTCCTGTAAATAAGGGGCATGGCTCCGCCTCTCTCCGAGAATTCTTTTATTTTTCTGGAGAATTCTTAAGAAGTCATCTGGAGGTCATTTTCACTGAGGTCGCCAGTATTCCAGATGACTTCCGCTTTTGGCAGGCGCTGCTCCTTCTGTGTTACAGGCTTTGTCACAAACCCCACTGGAGTTCCCCTTCATCTTATTCTGCACTGCTTTGAGCCACATTTATTGCCCTGTGTAAATTCTTTTACATCTTTTTATCATTTTTGCCTGTCAGACTTTAAGATCTCCCCAGCACCTCCCTCATGTGAGGAAAAGCCACACTATGAAAAGCCAAGTGCCCACAAAGCAGTCTTGAAACTTGATTTGAATAAAGGGACAGAGTTTCCACAGCCGTACCACCCTGGGGTTTCTCTCTCAAGCTTTTAGAATGCGCAGCTTCCTTTTAACCCAAACTCCCAGCCTCATGTTGCCCTCT